TGGAAAGACTGTCAGAGGTTGGAAAAGCGTTGAAATCCTTAATGTAAACAAGAGGCAATGAGTTGGTGAAAGATACAAAAATAGTTTCCTATCAGCTTTGTTCTCTTAAATGGGATCTGTGCGAGGACTTAAAGAGAGGAAGTCAAAGAATAACTTTGGATTAGCGATTAAGTCGCTGACTACTACATTCATGGAGCAAAATGGCTTTAACGTTTGATACTCGCGAGAGGAAAAAAAATTGAGAAATTATACAGTGAGAGAGTAGCAGGTGTCTAATTTGAAAAGAAAAATAAAGAACCTGTGTTTTCATAGCACCTTATCACGTTGAAACTTTTCAAAGCAAATTCCTGTCAAGTGTAGTGACTGTTTTAGCAAGCACACCTGGTAACCTTTCTGCACCAGCAGTGCCCCACAAACAGCCATGAGGTGGAGCACCAATTTTAAGGGTTTTTTTGTTTTCCCTTCTTTTTCTGTCCCTAACGAAGAGAAGGCGGGTGGGTGGAGTATCTGCTCTCAGTCTCCTCTAAGGGCAGCAGGTGTGAAAGGGCAGTCAGGAATCATATAAGCAAGTGCAGAGGATTTGTTTGGTCAGCCAGGTGTATCTTGGCCATTTGGCCAATGCCTTGGGACATCCTCCCAACATGAAAGGCTCTATCCAAATGAAATTTGTTGTTATTGTCGTATCTGACATATGTGGAAACCCATCACCGTGCTTAAGAGTATCGAAACCAAACAGGGTTCCACAATATGTATGTTACCTAAGCATGGAAATTGCGTCTGGAATGGAATACGCACTCTCTCCTCTGAGGAACAAACCCACTTACCCAATTTCAGATCTACAGTAAGCCCCAATTTACCAGACTCCGGGTATCTGAATGCGTACCTGTCTGGATCGGGCCTGAAACATAAATTTTAAAAAAGATTCCGCAGGCCTACCCAGGTATAGACTCCCGTCTCATCGTCCTTCAGTGACCAGGGATAAGAACCTCGACTCAGTTTGAATGCCGCAAGCAGAAGCTAGATTACTCGCTATCTTCTGCTCACGGGACTCAAAACAATTACAATGCCAGAAACGGGATTGTAATTCTGGTTTGTCGGACTGGATCTCCTCCCATTGGATGGGCCAACTGAGGGTTTTAGTGTATTAGGAGAGAGTAAAGAGTTAGAGACCCCAACGCATACTCCTTGAGTTAAGAGTATGCATTGGGGTACTGCTGGAGCATAGCGAAAACCATTGCCATTGAGAGATTGAGAGCACTGTCTGGTAAGCTTCCTGCTGCTTGTCCAGAACTCTACTCCTTAGGGTTTTGGCTCGCAAGGTTAACAGGAGTCGAGTGATATGTCTCATTGCTCTGTGTAACAAGCTGCCACAATGATTTTAGTGCAGATCTGTTTCATTACTTAGCACAGAAAAAAACATTAATACAGTAGTGACGTTGTTTATTGTTATTTTTAGGTTTAAAAAGCATCGTAAGCTATAAATTGGCATCTCTACAGAAAATTTCTTCCTATCTTCCTACTTGATTGCTCTTTACCTTTTATAAAACTATAACTGAAACAGGCTCTATCACAGACACTATGACATGTCTGCGGCTTTCTTACCAGACTTACAGTATTATAAGTACAATTTAAAAAGAAACTTGTAGATTAATGGTGCTTGAAATCACATGCATTGTGAGTGATGGCCACTTGCTTCATGGTCTTTTGTGGGCAATGCTTTGCGCAAATTAGCTGCCGCATTTGCCTACAAAATAGTCACTAAATTGTTATAATAAAAACACTGAAACATCTTTGAGACATCCTCCCAATGAAAAAGGCATATAAAATGCAAGACTATTTTCTCATCAAAACACCCATGTTTTGCTCTGGGTAACAGAAATTTATTTTGTTTTATTTTGCAACAGTGGACACAAATTATTTATTTTAGAAACACCAATGGCCAGCAAAGACTACTCTTTCTGCATAGTACTTGAGGATCAATTAGAATTGGCTATTTGTACTCTTTCTTTGTTTAGCCTAATCTTCTTTCAACTTATTGATGAGCCTTAAACTGTCACAGTGCTGGAGCACTAACCCTAATGATGTAAAATAGCGTTGTATAAAGTCGTAGATGTTGATCAAAACTGGTCGAAACTCTCCACAATAATTTATTTCTCAAATAAATGTAAACATGTACAGTTAAAAGTTAGAGCATTGAACCCATTGTATTTCAGCACAAAGTTTAGCATTATCAGTTGAGATATTGCTATTCAATTCACATGTTCACTGAATGTGGATCAGAAGAGCAAGGGGTCATAAGGGCATCAGTGAGTATTTCTGTACATTTGATGTGGTCAGATACCCCGCTGACTTCCACACCGACATGAAAGCTGGTTCAGGTGATTTATTGAAGTGCCACTTGGCTGAAGTGCCTTTGATCTTCGCTTGATCTCGAACAAGTTTAGGATGGTGCCAAACAGGAAGCTTTGTACCCAGTTTACCCAATGTGCACTCGTGCTGGAGCATATAGATGGGAGTCAGGTTAGTATCTCTGTCAATAGGGATTCATCATGATTAGATGCAGGAGTCAGGGTAGTGCAAACAGAGACATCTGCTTGAAGGTTCTCTGGCGCCAAGCTATCAACTGCCTATCAACATCGCTTATTCTGACATTGCTTTCCTCTTATCCTAGTGATCTTAAGGGAATTATACATTTGAATTCAGATTCTGAGGCATTGGTGACTCAACAGTAATTGCTCCCTAAGAAATGTACACTGTAGTTAAAAAAAAGTCAGTTTCCTGATCTGTCAATTTGTTTGTCAGATATAAAGAGAAGCAGGGGAATAAAAATGCCTGGTTGACTGTAGATTTGGGAGCCCTGATTTAATCACGTTTGAAAACCAGGAAATTTCTGGCTGCATAAAAAAGCTTACCTCTGCTCAGGTGATTTGATGGTCTTCTACTCTTTGAATTATTGTAGTCCATGTACAACAGCAAATGACATTTATACAGCGACTTTCACATCGGAAGGACGTCCCAAGGCGCTGGACAGTTAAGGGTATGCACCCAAACTGGGAGTTGAAATCAAAAGGGGTAGAGGGTAGAGGGAGTGTGGCTGACAGCACCATCAAAGAGGAAAGTCTTGAGATGGACCTTGAAGGAGGCAAGGGAGGGGACGAGGTGGAGGGATTTGGGGATGGAGTTCCAGAGGGTGGGGGCAGAATAGCTTAAGGCCCGACCGCCAATAGTGGGGCGGGCAGGGCGGGGACGTGGAGCATGCCCTTGTCCACCGAAGAGGGAGCGGAAAGGTTGGCATGGTATTAAGAGGTTGCAGAGGTAGGGAGGAGCAAAGGCCTTCAAAGTGAGATTGAGGATTTTAAACACTATCCTCTGAGGTATGGGGAGTCAGTGGAGCCAGGCGAGAATGGGGGTAATTGGTTCACAGAGTTTGGTACGGGAGTCGAAAATCGTGCTCTTTTTTTAATAAAGTCAGGCCTTCAGTTTACAGTGCAGTATGGTGCTTCAGTGCAGTATTGGGGTGGGGGGAGTCCTGCATTGACAGGGGTGCTGTCCTTCTGATGAGACATTAAACTGAGATCCCACCTGCCTGTTCAATGACATTAAACATCCTATTCAAAAGTTTACGAGAGGTTTGAATGAAGAAGGTGCTTTAGCCCATCTAAAAAAAGTAAATTAACTACATTTAAGAAATTCACTCCATATGAATCATGTCTGTGCTTTGGATGAGACATTAAATCGAAGCCCTGTCTGCCTGACGTTGAAGATCCAATGACACTATTTAAAATGAGAAGGAAAATTCTCCCGGTGTCTTGGCCAACAAATCCCCTAAATAAAATTGGTCACTCACCCCATGACTATTTGTGGGACGTTGCTGTGTACAAACTGGCTGTCATGTTTCGCCCCCAAAATACACAGGCAATCCATAGTACATCCTGTGAAGTACTATTAGACGCCTTGATAGTGAAATAAGGTGCTATATCAAATGCAAAGATTCTTACTCTTATTATGTCTTGGGCCAAATCCTTGGTCCCTTATCTTACAGCAGCATTGACATTTTTATTGTTTCTGGCTGTTTGAGTCTCCCTACAAATCCAGCATGCATCTTTAAAGAGAAAGAGTAGAACATTGAAGCAATCATTCCTTATGGACTTGTTAAAGGATTACTTTAATACCTCATGAGTCATTAAAAGATTATCCCATTGTACGACTAAGCTAATTAACAGACCTGCCTTCCCTCGCTCTCCAAGCATCACTATCGAAGACTGAGTATCAAAACCAGCACTCAGAATACCTAGAACAGCTTTGGTGGCATTTATTTGGGGAGCTGCCTGCGGGTAGCACCTGATACAGCAACAGACAGTTGATTGTTTCCTGTTTGCAGACGAGATTTCTCCAACTTCTCTGAGAAAAATATCGGGCAGCTTTACTTCCAGAACCTCAGAGACTCTAGCTATGTCACTGACTCTAGGAATCTCCTTCCGAATAACAGTGCAAAAGTTGCTTCACATCTGAGGGTGACACGCACACTCAAGTTTCAGTTGAAATTTCATTTAAATAAAATTAATTCAATTAAACGTCACTTAACATCACTTAAATAACATAATCTTTGTGTTTTATATAGTGCCTTATTACCTCTAAACATCTCAATGCACTTCAGAGTTTCTGTAATGTCTAGTGACATTAAGGCACCGTTGTCAAAACGATCAAAAACAGCTGGATCTTGGGCATGAAAACTATGTTGGAAAGGACCCTTTAGATGTGTATAACCTGCCAATTTCACTCATTACATTTATAAATAAACTGCCCCAAATGACTAAGTTGCTAGACAATTTCTTTCCAAGGTTGGAAACAAGGGTTGACACAGGTGTCTAATTTGTGATATTTGTAAATTAAATGCTGCATAATTGTAGAGTTTCAATTATAGAGGGAACCAAAGTTTCAAAGTTCGATCTGCCCTTTCACTTTAAATTCTCCACACACGCTTGATGGACAAAAATCTATTTTCTTTCCCAAAGATTTTATTATAAGCATATAATACAAAAACACTGGGATAACATTTTGTAATAATCAACTAAAAGCAACATTGCAAGCTCATCATATAGCCCTGGTAGTTTATATAATATAGTGGAATCAATACAATGCAACATCAATTCTGTTAAGATCAAATCTTTAAGAGTCATGTACAAAGTCACTCCCCTCGCCGCAATTTCATGATTTAAAATACCATGGAACGAGTGTAGTTCTAGAAGATCTAAAATTACAAACCACAACCATGGTCAACAAGGATTCAATTCCTTGCTGCTTCCCACCACCACACAAAATTAGGCTTTCAATTTGCAGGCAGTGGAGACACAACACTTTAACCACTTTGATAATAGCAAAAGAAAAATAGTCAGTCGATGTTTTTTTATGGTTAAGGAAGTACTAAAGACCTTTTAAGTCCTTTCTAATTTAAGTATTGCAGTGATTTAAAATGTCACCCAACAGTCTACCAATAATATACTGGTAATTTAGATCAAGCTTCAGCTGTTAATTTACTATAAAACATTTCATATGGTCTTGCATGCAGTTTTGAGGCACAACTTGTAACTTACAAACCTGACAGTTTTGGGTATTAATGAATGAGTAAATGCAGCAACTATATAATTCTTTAAAAATAAAAAAAATCCATATGGGTACTGGAGAAAAAAAAACTGGCAGACTGGATGCATTAGTATCACTTTGATTTCAGAAATTGAAAGATCAGATCAATGGTGTTCCACTAAATTACATAACCATAGTCCCTGAAAATATATGATCTACATTCAAAATGTTTAAGATTGTCTTGGTTGTAAAAAATAACAGTACGGCTAAACCTTACCAATACAAGGTTGTGGAGACTGACAAAGTTGTTCTTCTGTTCAGTGGTTCATCTTATCAAAGTCCTTATCACTTCATGCTGATTATTGGAGAGCTTTAGTTAGAACAGCAGAAGTTGGCTACAAACAGGTTTATAATAACCCATTTGCTACTCGTACAATGAGGTTCTACTGTAGAACATTGCAACATCCCAACAAACACAATGGATGTCTAAATAAACCAACAGTGCAGGCTGAAAAGACCCAGTACATCAGGTGCTCCTATTCAAAGCTATCTAAAGTGGACCAAAGCAGCATAACCAAGTCCCTGCAAATACACAAACATACACGCCAACCGTTCATAAAACAAAACAAACAAGGAAAATGTGAAAGAGATGCTGTTCACAGGATAATATGGTTCAGTGAATTTGATTCAGTGTGTACCTAATGGCTTTTGACTTTTGTTAATTGTATGCAATTTAAAATAAAAATAAACACATTTACGATCTACACCCATTGCACATCCTTATTAACTGTAATTTTACTATTTATGTCTTAACTGTATAATTTCTGCTCAGATTATAATTGTCATATTTTCAGCCACAATTGCAATGCATTCAGATCATGCCTTGCATGACAGCACTAATAGCGCAACATTAACATTTCTGCATTTGGATCATTTAATGTATCATAGTTCATAGCACCACATCCATTATAATTCCCACTGTAAATGTAAAATAAGCATCCTATTAAATCTCAAATTCACAAGCAACACTAAGGACTGTACATGTGGTATTAACTAAGTATCTACTTACACGTGAAACTAATAGTATAGAACCTCTAAATAAGACCTAATAACTATTAAATTTAGTGGCAGACAGAAAGCGTACAGTCTTGTACTTCTTAAGATGACAAATATGGAATGCCATGTAACTATAAAAACCCAGTCAGCTTGGTGTCTGTCTTTCACAATAAGCAATTTGACAGGGAGGGGGGAGGTGCTCAACACAAAAAGGATAAGATTTCCTGACCAAACAGGACGTACACTTAAGTCAACTGTATTGATCTTCAGTTGAAGCAGAAATGTGCTCAGAGGGGGGAAAAAAGCAACATTTACTAGTATAGTCAGCGTATATAAAGTACAAAGTGCAACTCTTATTACCCCAAAAGTTAAAACTTTCAAAATTCTTTACAACATTAAAAGATATATAATGCATTATAGCTGATAGTCCATCTGAGGCTGTGTGTTGTCAATTGAACAAGTCAAGCAGGGTCAGTTCACGGAGCTGCGAAGTCTACAAACACCGCCTTCTATCGCCAGTGACTGCCCCGCCACAGCTCCAGGTGGAAGTCTGGAAATGTGAGTCTGTGGATAAACATGTTAACCATTTCAAGGCTTCAGATAAACATAGCTGTACAATGAGCAGGTTGATTTATTGGATTAAAGACATCCTCAATAAGTTGATTAGTAATGTGAAAAATAAACAAGAAAAACGTGAGAGACGTGTTGTATTCTAACAAGACTATTTCTATTTGCAACTAACTACCATGGTCATGAATTTTCTCAATTTTTCCAGCCTCCCTTCATTCCTATGTTAATCTTTCAGAGACCAATTAGCATTTATTCGTTTCCAGATCTTCTGTATTTATTTCTAATTTCCAGAATTCAACCTTTTATTTTTATTTTTACCTTAATATTCTCACCTTCCCCTTTCCCACTGGCCAGTAGGAAAGAGAAGGATGTGTGGACTTGCAATTACAGTAGTATAAATTGGTTGTAAAGCAGCATATTTTTACAGGTAATGTGGACAAAATATCAAGTCTTTCTCTTAGCAATCTCAGCATTTTTTCGGAAAGAGTGTTTTGAAAAACTGTGGAATACGAAGCCTAAATCAGTAAAGTCCACATATTTCGCCCACAAAATATACAGTCAACCCACTTTACAGTATATTCTGTGAAGCATTTTGAGACGCCTCGAAGCTGTGATAAGGCGCTATATCAAATGCAAGGATTATTATTATTATTAATAGAAGCCTGGCAAACTGATTGAGTGTTATCATATCCCGCTGGCCTTCTGTTCACCAAGATTTATATTCAGGCCTTGCTGCCTTGGGATTCACATTTCACTACGAATTTTGCAATCCGATATTCACAACATATCCTGTTTGCGAATGTCACATTTTAAACCCCTAGGTATTTTCCCCCTCCATCTTCACATGCACCCTACTTCGGGAATGGTAAATGAAAATTCTTTACAGGAAATTCTCGTGAAATTCTCATGGTCTTAGCCTGATGACCATGTTCTTACAATTTAAGATTAAGAAGCTGTTTTTTCTGCGGTTGTTAAAAAAAAATTGGCGTACTAAATTTTAGAATATTCTAAAATTCCGGCACATACTTAAAATTTTAAGCCAACATCTTAAGGTTAAGACCATGAAGACCTTCAAGGCTCGGCAGTCCTCGACTTTTCTGGAGAAACAGCAGGGTAATAGCCAACCGTTTCCACATATTGTGATGGTAGTGCTGCTTGGAGGTCCAAGAATTTTGGGCTATTGCATTAATGAAACAAAAGCCATTCACAAGTTCATAGAGGAGAATAGTTGTGTATTTTGTCTAGGTCTTCCCAGTATCTGACTGACACGGAAACACATCGCCGTGCAGAAATCTTTCCAGGGTTCCACTGATAGTGTGGGTGTACTGTGCACTATACCAGAAGCACTCTGACTCAAATCAACGCATTATGATGGTATTGCCCCGTACGTATGATTTAATTTATCTACTATGGACCCTCTTTCCTCCAGAATGATGTACCATACCTATCTAATCCAGAAGAATTTAGGTGTAGGTTGGCAAAGGCTTGGGGACCCTGAGGGTGCACTGGACTTAACCAACTAAAACCTTGCAAGTCAAAGTCTAAGACAAAATCAACAAATTTTATACTTAATTGGCAGCAAATGATCAACATGTGTTTATGTGGGGGCAAAGAGGTTGACCCAAGCTGCAATTAATTTGACATAAGGCTGTTAAAATGTAAAAAATTGGTATGGGTAAAACTCTGATACACATAAGTTAGCATCCACTACTGCCATTTGATCACCAGATCGCAAATCAGAGTATAGAAAATAACATTTCTTTAAAATAAGAATTCCAATAGCAGTAAGGATAATGTAGAACTATTCTGCCTTTACAGCATTGTAGCACATAATCAGTTGTGATGTAATTACCTCTACTAATAATCCTTGCATTTGATATAGCACCTTATCATGTTGTTGAGACATCTCAAAGCTCTTCACAGAATACACTGTAAAGTGGATTGACTGTGTACTTGTGGGTAAAATGCGGCAGCCAATTGTGCTCAGCAGTGTCCCACAAACATCATGGATTGAGTGACCAATTTTTTTTTGGAGGGATTATTACCCCTGGAGAGCAATTCGCCAATTGACAAACAACTGGGTTCTTACTTACTGCTAGGTGTGTGTGGACTAAGGAAACTTGCTTAAGGTTTTGTTCGCCCGCCCGGAAATCGAACCTGGGTTCTCTTGCTTGAGAGGCGAGTGCCCTAACTACCAAGTTACTGGACTCCATAGTTTCATGTAAATCAGATAGAATATCCTATTTAAAGCAGGAAACACTCTGCAAACAGCAAGTACAGAATTCAAGATGGAAGGAAATAAAGTACATTCCGCCACTTGAAGAAAAAAAAACTGATTCTTGAGAAGATTTATATTCCGAGTGAATATACTTCACTTAATTAAAATCGTACGGTAAAATACTCATAAATCACATGGAATCATCTGTGAAACTCAGAATTTAAGTTAGTTAAACGAAAGTATACTGCAGTACATTAGGTCATGAAGTTGCTGGGAAAAACGTACTGAGCAAACAAACATCTTCTGGAACAATTAGCCCTTTGAACGGTGCTTTTATTTTACATTAATTCTGATAGTGTTTAGTCAGTAAAAGGACAGAAGGTCAAATGTTGGAGGCAACATGTTGAGAACAGAATCTCCACCTGCAGATATCAGGTCAGCAGTTTTGCTTTATTCCTGTTGCCTCTCTGTGCAAGAGATTGCTTTCTGATGCTGGTAATAATAATCTCCAGCCATTTCCATATGCTACAAGAAAGTCCCTTTCATCACTACTGATCAAGATAACAGATGTTGTCTTAAAAAAATCTTCAAAAACCTAATATTATGAGCGTAAAGAGGTAAGCAGATGAAAGCTCATTAAAAAAAAATGTCTTTGACTATTTCTCAGATAAACCAAAAGACCTCAAAGGCGAAGATACATGACTGGGAACTCAACATTAGCACATTCTAATTCTAATTAAAATCCAATTCTAAGTAGTTAATTCTAATCCCAAATTAAGGATTTATGATATTAAATAGGCAGGAGAGTACACACTGCTCTAAATAGATTTCATTTTTTAATATCCTGTTTTAAACAATGCTTAATAGATATCTGATAGATTGATTTGAAGCATCCACTTGTAAGTTTTATTTTGACCAGTTATAGTTCTACTCGTGTTGGAAATGGGCACATGCGTCCCCCTCCCCAGTTGCACAGATGTACAGAAAGTACAAATCGCATCGTCATCCACAACCAATGTTTTCACATGAATTGCTGCAATCTGATATGTACAATGAAGACGAATGGAATTGAAGGCAACCAAGTGGCTTGGATTGGGAACTGGTTAGCAGAGAATTTGGATTAAAGGGATACTCTCTGTTTGGCTGACAGTGACAACTGGTTTCCCACAAGAAGTTGAGGCCCCATGTTTTTATGCATTGGATATAAAAACAGGAGAGTATATTAATGTTTGCATCTAATTCTAAGCTGCGAAGTACAGTGAATGGTGAAAAGAAAAAAAAACTATAAAAGGTCCAGAAAAAAAATTCAGCAAGTGGGCAAAATGATGCCAGGTGCAGTTCAATGTGCCAACATGTCATCACTGACAATCTCGGTTGCCCTAGTAGATGGCATTTTTAATGTGAGAAGTTGGCTAGTCAGTGCTGGAAGCTAGGGGTACTGTGCTTATGGTAGACCTACGCCCAACAGGGCATATTCTGATAGGATTGTCCTGTATTAGGTTAAGAAAAGAAGGTAATCTGGATTTGTGAAATGTGGCAAAAAAACAACAACTCTAGATCAGTTGTGGCCAAGCCTTGCCCATGGGCCAGAAGTGATCCGCAGTAGCCACGCATTCACACTATGTGAGTCTATTTTAAATCAATGTTTTGTTTCTGGTCTTTTCTTGATTTATGCCACTAATCAAGAAATATTCAATCAAGAAAATGCATTTGTTAGCTAACCACTGCTCTAGATCATTTCAATAATAATAATCCTTGCATTTGATGTAGCGCATTATCACGTGGATGAAACGTCCCAAACGCTTCACAGAATATACTGTAAAGTGAAGTGACTAAATTTTGTGAGCAAATTAGGGTTAAAGACAACAAGCAATTAGGTGAACAGTAGAGTGGAACTTTATGGATAAATGGATCATATTTTAAACTTAATTTTAATCCAACAATATTACATCATTTCACCCACAAAATATACAATCAATTCACTTTACAGTATATTCTGTGAAGCATTTTGATATGTCTAGAAGACATGATAAGGCGCTTTCTCAAATTAAGGATTATTATTATATTATCACCTTCACTGTACGATGCATCAAGAAAAGGAAGAACTGAGGATCCTAGAACCTTGGGACGTCCTCCTGATGTGAAAGGTGCTATACAAATGGAATTTTGTTGGTGTTGGTGGACGACTGATACTGTAAAAGCTGTTCTGTTATCATGAGATTAAATCTGTTTGCAAGCACAACATCGTTTGAACTGCTGTGCAGTTCTATCCTTTTGACCAGTTGGAGCAAGCAGATTTCCTTGAAGTACGTGCAGGGATAACTTGGATTAAGTAAGGGTTTGTGTATGAACAAAAATGGACAATAAAGGAGGGAAAAGAATCTCAATGTATTTTCCTTCCTCAAAACAACAACATGTCATACCATGGTTTACAGAGTTCTAAGATCTGGTTTAAATGGCAAATACTGACATGCCAGCCTTTGACAGATTAGATTACTTTTTGATCACTCATCACCTCACCCAATACTTGTATTTGTGGTAGCTCTCCGAAAAACATTTGTGGTCACAGACTCAAGGGGGGTGGGGGTGGGGGGGGGGGAGGGGTAGAAGAAGAGAGATTAGTCTTGTAAAGGAAGGTCAAAAGCGTAATTTAAAATTGAAGTGAGAAGAGCAGCTGCGTCTGTCATCCCTTCAACAATACCAGCTGCAGAATTTGTGGGCAATATGGAAACAATGTTCACCAGATGTCAAAGAATGGAAGAGAAACTGCTCAGCAAGCAGCCAGCTTCTCGTGCCTTTAATGTCGCAGTGTCACCTCTATTACCGAGCCACATGTCACACATGGAATACAACTGTTAGGTTCCAACGTAAATCACGCATCTGACTTTTTGAGCACTGCTCTGCATATTTAAAGAAATGCAACACAAAAAGTGTTCGATTTCTCACTTTGAATGACTTTTAAAGATGGAATGTGGAAGAGGTTCCCTCCCACACCCGAAAAAACTAAAAGCAATCACGAAGTGTCAAGTAAAAATGTTTGTCTGCACGACTTAGGATTTAGTAATGGAAAATAATCTTCAGGGGATCGAACGCATTTCAAAGAAGGCAAATGCAAAATATATATTTAAAATTGTCCAATGCATTAATATCAGAAAAGGTCAAATGAACAACTGTGAATAACCAGCCTCTACTGTAAATTAACAAGGATTTTTTTTAAAGAGAGAGGATAGTTTGAACAAGGGATTCTATGCCACAAGTTGAGGCAGGGTCTATACATTCCTTTTAAAAGGAATTGGAATAGATGCTTGTAAAATAGGAAATATTAAAGCATGGGGAGTGATCAGGATAAATTAGGTGAATGTGGGAAACAAAACTGTCCAGATTTGATGGGCCAAATGCCCTGCTTCTTTGCTGTAATATTCTATAAAAGCATTTGCAAAAATAGTGATGTCCACTTGTTACAGACTTACCTTGGCTTTGCCATCTTGAGTCGACATGTAACCAACACACATACTCTCAGTGGTATGACTCCATAGGAACTCAACTGTGTAAAAAAAGGTACAAGAACATTATTTATGTGATTTATACCAACAGTATCTATAGTACTGGGTGCCCAGAAATCCCTTTTGAAAAACACTCAAAGAAAATTATTAGTTAAATTTAATGAAACATTTCCAATTCAAAATAGTGTTACAATGGCTCTTCTCTTCAACAAAAAAATTAACACCTATGGCTCAGTGGTGGGCTTGATCATGATGGGCTCCTCATATAAGAGCATCAAGAGTTTATTTCATTAAATGGCGTGTAGGGTTTGGCTTAATTATCTGAATAAAATCCTCAGCTTCTCCCGAAATCGGTAATGGTCTCAATCAATGCAACACTAATCGTACACAGTGGAAGATTGTAGGTGTGTGTTGAGTTAGTTAAGGCAGCCGTTGGAGTGCTTCAATTAGGTTTAGTAGGGGAAAATTAACCAAGTGGGCCACTCTTGATCACTATCCAGAGACCCCTGCAGAAAAGTGTAGATGTCAACTAAGGACAGGATCACCTTTTGTCCCCTAAACTCAAAACCTTAGAGCAAACAGTACTTCTGGAACTTTACCCCAATAGGAGAAAGGAATCAAAAAACATCTCAATAAGACAATGCAGGGAGGGGAGAGAATTTGAGGACAGAGGGGTAAACCTCCATTTATGAGAGATTATACAACTGTAAAATAAGTGGTAATAATAATTTACTGACAACTGTTTCCTCCACTATTCACAGCCATATGGACCAGAGCTCTTGCTGCCTATCCTTACTTAACACAAAACACTTGAAGAGCAACAAGGGAAGTGACAGGAAAAACGAGGAAAAACATATCTGGCTTTAATTAGTTTAATTATGTACAATTTCATTATTTTCTGAATGCCACACCATTTTTCAATTTAGTTCAGCATACACCGCAATTCATGTGGTATTCAAACCAAAATGTTTCTTAAAAAAAACTTAAAGGATTATAAAAAAAAGTAAGCTTATTGCCAAATTTTAAGACAAAATTTTTTCTCCATTATAGATGATAGCCGCTTGCATACCAAGTTCTGTTTTTAGTTGACTAGATAGGTTGCCAATGTATTGCCATGCCTCAGTCAATGCCAATCTACATCAGAAGACCAACCACAAGAGATAGATGAAGACCTTTTGGGCCATTTGATCTCAGCCTTCCTCAGCTTGCTCTGTTGTCTTCCAATTACAGCATCAAGCGTTTTTTTAAACGACTCCAGGATGCTGGCCTCCTAACACTCTTTATGATAAACTGTTCCTGCCGTTAATTATTCCCTGTACTGTATTTCCGGGCATCTGTTCTAAACTTTATTTCTGCTCTCTTATTCCGCTGCCTTTGGCTTATCGGAAAATATTATTCCGGATTTACTTTCTCAATCCCATTGAGCACTGCATTCTATAATAATGTTCACACTAAGATGTTCTTTTCAAGGCTGGAGTGACCAAGTTATTTGGTCGTTCCTGATGGCTAAGGACCATTAATGTCAACTTTTATTCAATAAAATAACAGTTTGGGGGAGTATTTTCTGGGGGGAGTTGTTGAGATTTAATTTTTCCATCAGAAAAGAGAGAAAACGCGAGGAAAACATTCAACACAAATTCCCCAGGAAAATACAGTGAAAAATCGGGATTTATTTTGGAACATCCACTCAACAAGAGCATCCCAAAACTGCTGACTGTAATGCCAGAAAGGTCCAGAAACAGATGAAGTAAGTTGGTTCCAGCTTCCAGGACCTTGAGAACACCAAGGTGGCTGACATGTCACAAATTGTTCTGTGAAGGTCCTCCCAGCACACTGAAGACAGCTGTCCGAGATAGCTGATGAAACTGAAGCTTGGAGCAACAGCTGCTGGACGACATTACCTGGAATCCGTGTTCGTGAACACATGTTCATACATCCAGTGCCTGGAATCCACTTTGGCTTGCAGAGAGGTAAGCTGCTGCTGCTTAAACTCCAGAACTCCAACTGGTGGAACCAATGCTCAATAGGAAGGGATGTGTGCCTGAGCTGCGGATCGGAAGATGGTGGCAATGCCCTCACGCATTTCATGCTGAACTGTGTTGCCCACCAGGAAGCTTGCACTTACCTTCCAGCTAGTAAGGGCTTGAACCCGTGCTTATCAGAATTCAAACTACTAACTAGTGATATCTGTGTCCTAATTGATGGGAGCAATTTGTGGGGAAGTAAACGTTTCTTCACCACCTTTTTATAACAATGGATCAGAGCTGTATCAGCAGTGCTAGGCATGCATGTTGTTGAAGGACTGGACAGTTCAAGTTGTTGTTATCGTTGTATGTAATCAGTGTGAAACACATTTGGTATCATGACATCAGATGTCAAATTCAGAATTAATTTTTAAAAAAGAATTGCGCATTCCCCCAACTCTTAATAACATTAAAAATTCAATACAAAAGTTGCAGAACTCTGAAATAAAGTGTTTTTTTTTAAAATGAATGTGATAGGAAGAATCATAAAATCAACCTTCTTCTCAGCACTTGCTTCACAGCTGAAAGGAAACTGACTGCAATTTAAACATAGGATAAAGCACATTGCACCGTTTGTGTTCTGAAAAGAATTGTGACAATCAAAAAGCACTTGAACACTTTAAAATACATAAACCCTTTGCAAATGTTGGTACAGTTTTTAAAAACAAATTCAACACAAAATAGAATATTTATGGTAAACTGTTTGGAAGAGCCACTGGAAAAGTCTGGCTTACATACAGAGTATAAAAATCCAAGAATCAGTGGGAGGCATCCTTGGATGTCACAAAGCCAAATACTTTTAAAGTGAAGATGGGTTCTTTTAATGGATTCTTTAATGCGTCTATACTGGTGCATATTTCGTTCCAATGGGGTGAGGAAAAGGTCAACAATGAAGAAGAATATGGATATTAATATGTGACTACTAATACTATGGAGGGGCTTGAATGGTTCAGAAAGCAAAGTTGCCATATTTGAAAAAAAAGGAAGAATCACTGGACGTATGAAAGAACTAAAAAGGGCAATATTGTCCTACTGAATGAGCGGGAGGCTCCAATATATATGTATTACTGTTGTAATGTGGGACTTTGATTCCATAAAAATCAGACCCTGTGTTACATTATAAAAATAGTCACTGGCCAATGTGTATGGGTCATCGGGTTGCCACTGAGGTCACTAAACTGCGACAGTGTTGGGTTCCAGCCAGCTGCTCAGTCAAACGCCCTCATGAGCATCTCCAGCATTGCTAGGATGTCACTGATAGGCCTTCTCTACTCTGCCCAGGAAACTGGCTATATAGTGCCAGAAATGTACCGCACTCTGGGTGAACTGCAGGTACACTCACATAATATGCTTTATAAGATACACATATTAAGTCAGACCAAACCCACTCTTTGAGCTTCAGAGTAAAGTCTGTGTAGTAATTGATGGGAGTAATTTGTGTGGAGATATTTCAATCTGGCATGCTGATTTTATTGCTGAGGGAACACATATAGGTTGATGATAGGAATGTCTTCATCAGAAAAAAAGGAACACTATTGTGGGAATCAACAAAAAAGGCTTAATACTCCTTGGAAAAGGTTTTGAAAACAAAAAAGTTAAATTGCACAAATCATAAGATATTGCCAATCATTAGACTTTGTGATGGAATTTTGAACCCTGCATTCTGAAGCGCCTCAATAAAGCTGCTATTCTGAAAGTTATACTGCTTACCTAGGAGGGCCTGAGTATTCGATGACGGCTCAGATTCTAGTGAACATCTGCAACATCGGAGAACTATCACACCCCCAAGTACAGAGTCTTCACAGGCTAGGAATGGTGAACCTATAAATAAGTCAGAAAAATGGTACTGCAATGAAGGAACAGAAAAATTAAGATCAACTTAATTTTGAATTCAATGTTTTACTGCTTCAAAGACATGTTTCTTCTTCAGTGAGACAGAATACCTGGACATTATTCATTAAATACAGAATTACAACTAATAACTGGGGGTGGAAAACCTTCTGAGCTGAACATTGTACAGTTAAGTGAGAGTATTATTGTTCTAATAAGCTGTGCATGACAAAAATATTGGATGTTAGAACGGCATAATCAAGGTGAAAGTGTCCAATTTCCTTGCATTGTTGCCTCAATTACTACAAACGTATGAATTTTAGGGAAAATAAATAAGAATGCAGATTTTTAAAGAATTTCAGAGGTTTCAGAAACACCTGGGCAAGAAATTCCTCTTGCCACTAACTACAGAGCAACTCCATAAGAGCATAAGAATTAGGAGCAGGAGTAGGCCATTCGGCCCCTCGAGCCTGCCCCGCCATTCGATAAGATCATGGCTGATCTTCAGACCTAACTCTATCACAATGCTTTGGGGACATAAAATTAAATATCATATTATAATAGAAAAAGACAATGGCCCCACTTCTGCCAGGTCACCCATCGCTGGTCTTACTTTGTTCTGCAATATAAGCAAACTTGTGCTCCACAGAGGTGCTTTATAATAGGGTCACCCTGTATTGTGACTTTGATATTTGATTCATGTTCACTGCCACCACAAGATTGAGTGTTATTTATTTAAGACTGTACCTTCATGATGTCTGCAAGGTTTATATTACTGAAAAAACATTATACTGGAGGAAATAAATGACAGCAAGTGAATCTATTCCAACACAACTCCCAACTGTAATTGTTAGTTAATGCAGAGTAGACAAGATTCTTTGGCATAGTTCACCTGTCCTGCTCACAGTGTGAGGACAGCATAGCAGAAATAACACAAATGAAGACTGGAAGTTGAACGCAAGAGACAAACAAAAGAAAAATGAAAAACTTTTGGAATATATAAAAAGCAGATGTATTTTCTATAATTCAAACATAAGAAAAGTCAAGGACAGGAAAGCATCATTCAGCCCACCTTATCACTTTGGTAACTCTCTTTTCATGGCAGCTAATTTTATTTGAGTAACCCCAATACTTTTGCCTCTATTACCTTATTTGGCAGATTAGTTCAAATATTCATTTTCTTGAATCCAACCTATTTTTCTTGTATACTGTAAATGTTTCACACATTTCCATTTATTACCTAGTTTACTTTGAAAGCTTATCTTATCTTTACTATTAAATATTTTATAATGTTATAACGTTCCATGAGACCTCTTAACCACTTTCATTCCAGACCATATAAAGTTTGCTCTTTTTTCTTAAAACATTCTTTACACTTGGGATGAGCCAAGTTTTGTTCCAATTTCAGTAGCATTTTTAGTAAAAATAAATCTTTACTGAGGTGACGTAGCCTGTTATATGAGTACATAGCCTGTTATATACACTAATTAGGATTTGTGATATTGTGGATATCAGATGAATGACTACATATACCTCTCTCTCTTCCTCTATAAGTGTTTTTATAAATATTTTACGTTTCTCTCTAATCCCATACTTGCCTGGATCAGATCTTTCCACCTGGCATTTCAGATAAGTATCATGTGCATTTGCGCAACTAAAATCTTTTCCTGACATCACAGCCTAACTTTATCCTTAAACCTGAAGCTCAATATTGGAGTTCTGCCAATGTCTTATATTTTGCACATTAAATTTCCCCTGCAATATGTCTGCCCATTTGTATGACTGATTCAGTTCTTTTTCTTGCATCTTCATCAGCCAATTTGACCAGTTTACAGGTCAGCTGGCAAGTGATTTATGTAAGCTAGAAATAATAAGAATCCAAAAAATAACCTTTATGGGCTCTACTCAACACTTACATTGAAATAAATAAGTAGAAAAAGGTCCAGAGAAACATGGGAGTCCACTCCCAGGATAACGCCTTAAACCATCTCTCATTCAATACTCTAAATGAAGTTATATAAATGGCAGACACGAAGCAGATGAAATTCAATTGAAAAATCTAGGACACTGGCAGAACTTGAATATTTTGCTTGAGGTTTAAGGATAAAGTTAGGCTGTGATCCAAAGCTTCTTTTGCCAGCTACCCAATCTTCTTTACCCCACCCACCACCTTCCTGAGAAGTGCTTCTTACCAGTCTGATCAAAACACTCCACGACGTATTTGCATTACTTTATTTTTTAAACCAGTTTTTTACCCAGTCCTATGTTTCACTTGGATTTTTTTAAAAAAGATTTTGTTAGATGTTTGTCAAAAACTTTCTGAAAGTGTAAATAAACTGCATTACAGGCATTGCACAACTTCTAACACGTGCAGATACAACAGTAAGATTAATCTTTGCACAAGACACATCAGCAGTACTGTTTATTCACCAGGTGAAATAGTCATTTATTCCAAAATACTAGCTGTTGCAACATAAGACCATAAGATATAGGAGCAGGAGAATGCCATTCAGCCCCTCGAGCCTGCCCCGACATTTAATAAGATCATGGCTGATCTTAGTGCCGCATTATGTTGTTGGCCCACCTAGCAATCTTCAAAAACCTGCCCTTGATTAGTCATTCTCAAACTACATGCAGGAATGTGATCACCCAAATATGCTCACCAAAATGTATTCCCTGAAATCCCCTAGTAACAGTGTTATGTAAAATACAATACTTAAATCTGCAGGGTTCGCTGCATTAAGCAAAGCATTAGGACTCTTTGTAGAGTACCAGTTGTACCAGAGTGGTAGGACTCGGCAGTGCCCTGGAGTACTGCAGACCCGCCTGGCTCAGGAACTGGACTACCGAGACTGCCACAGAGAGTGGGCTTGACTCTGATATTCCATTGCCAATCATGTCACCTTGGAGCAAGTTCAGCTCCAAGGAGATCCCGTTTACCATTCCATTAAGGAAGATAGTCAATTGGTCAAAAGATATTTGGGTTGGAGGAAAATGTGGGAAAGCAATAATGACTTTTCCTTAACCTAGAATATAAATGTTGTGTGCCAGATTCAAATATTCGCGTAAAAGATGCAATAATAATATTACAGCATCTGAACTGAATCATGAGAGGGCAAGATACATAAAAAAAAACTATAAAAGGTAATTACTGTCAAGAGTAACATATTTGCAGGCAAATCAGCCAAACTTGTAATTGACCTGCAGTTGAGGGATTCAAAAGGGATTGATTCAAAGGGGAGGAATAAACAAACCCCGGCTGTACCTTTTCATTTTTCATAAAAATAATCCTTGCATTTGATATAGCGCCTTATCATGTCTCAAAGCACTTCATAGAATATGTCTTGTAAAGTGAATTGACTGTGTATTTCGTAGGTGAAATGTGGCAGCCTATTGCCCGCAACAGGTGTCCCACAAACAGTCATGGATTGAATGACCAATTTTCTTTGAGGGACTATTTATCCCCGGAAAATGATCCGCCAATCGACTAACAACCGGTTCCTACTTATTGCTAGATATACAGAGGCTTGTGGAGTAAAGAAACTTGCCTAAGTTTTTGCCCATCCGGGACTCAAACCCGGGTCCTCTCACTTGCAAGGCGAGTGCATTAACCAACTAAGCTACGGGACTCTGCTTTATTAGGACATCACAGGTCTAACAGGAACCTGAAAAAAAATAATGACATCTAACGCAAACAATTTGGAGCAACGTATTGACTTGGAATAGAAAATTGATAATCTTCTATTCAGGAATTAACCACTTGTTCTGAGTCTTGAAGCTTCAGGCATTCAAAAAAGCTTCAGTTTTGCTTTGGGGATTTTGAGATGTTGCCCAAACCAAGGGCAGCATTGATAACTCTCCTCTCTTCCCCCTCCACTCACTATACTCACGAACAAGGTCTATGAATCACATCTCTGATATTCCTCTATCTACAGTATGTTCAAACAACGATGCACCAACAAAAACTCCAAGCAGGTAAAAATCTGCAATTAATTAATTATCCCTGAAAGCCAGTAAAAATAAATAAATTTGATATAAAAATGGTTCTTACATCAGTTTCTAAATGCATTCTGCAGACTACGACATCCCCTTTGGGGAAAGTGGTAATGGTGGAGGAGGGGGTGGGTGAGAGTAGAAAGGGTCAAATTAAGAAAGGCAGGTTGTACAAGTTCAGATATAATGTAAACATGAGGATTGCATTGAAATAATAAGGAACAAAATAGTCTTAAGCAGGTTTTTAAAATAAATTCATTCTATTGTTAAAGAAAACTGCAATCTTGTTAGCCGTATATAATCACTTCAGTAATGTAAACCCCTCATGTGCCTCTGTTACAGCAGTTTACTATTAGGAGGCCCATATCACATTTTATGAGGTAGATTTGTGAAAAAGTTTAGAGAAAATGGCTTCAAACACACACAAACACACCACCAACAACAACTATACAGGATACTAGCACATTTGTCTTGCCCCTATTCCTTTTGCATTTTCCTGTTAACTACTTCATTATACAATCTATCAAATAAACATATTTACATTCCCTCTACTTCTTCCACTCCCCCACAATTTGGTAACATCTCCTATCACACAGTGTACAGTATTTATTCTTCACAAAAAAAAACATCTGCCATCAGTTTGTCTGTCACCTGCTGCTTAAAGAGCTCCAAACGTCAATGCCAGGCATTCCCCACTTGGCCAGGAGCCCAAATCTCCCGCAGGGACTCAGATCTAAATTGTAAACAGGATGCTGGCTGCCCATTGCAAGTGCAACAATTGGTTGCTAGCAGGACAAATGCAACTAAAGCTGCTTTCTTGTCTGCTGGCCACATCAACTGTCCTGCCAACCCTAATTCTTTCAGGTCTACTAACAGCCTGTTCATTTGCTGGATGGCATCCTCTCAGTGGAAGACAATAAAAAGTGACAATACACACTGCTCAGCTTTGATCTCCCCAGCTAATTATGTGGCGTGACAAGTAAAAAATGCATCTGCAT